TGCTCTCAATGCCACTGTCTATATCGTTGATGTTGATATTAAACACCACTGGTCCCAGTACAGACCCCTGAGGGACACCACTTGTCATCATTTTCCATCTGGACATCAAGCCATTGACCACTACCCTCTGGATGCGACCATCCAGCCAATTCCTTATCCACTGAACAGTTCACACATCCAACTCACATCTTTCCAACTCAGAGAGAAGGATGTTTTGGGGGACCTTATTAAAGGCCTTGCAGAAATCCAGACAGACTGGATTTTTGTTCCCTGGGTTCTGGTTTCTCTTACACCTGTCAGTTTTCATTTGATAATGACCATAATTTACTCTTTCACAATTCAAGGAGGAGTTCTAGACTGTAATTTTAACCATGCACTTCAAAAGTATTACACTTTCAGTAATGCTTTCCATTCTTATTAAAAGCATTATCATCAGGACTGATTCATTTTCAGTCATTTTCTGTCCTTGTTACAATTTTTGCTCTGTGAACAAGTCATTAAACTTTTCATGTACAATATATTATGCACTTGCTGTACTGCATTAACCTTTTAGATCTTCCATATTTTAGTAGGCTGGTAATTTTATTCCTTTAAAAGTTTTGTCAGGGGGTGGAAGGAAAAGGTAGCAGAGCCAACCAGTCAAATTCCAGAAAACTGTCAAGGTCAATGTAAAATAATTTCACCCTGTGCAAATGTAGGAGAATGTATGCCTAGATTTTAATGAAAATATTAGGAATGGAAACATGCAAATCTGGTAATAAATGTGAAGTAACTATTTTCCCTAACTTCTTTTAGAATCACAGACTCATAGAATGGTTTGGGTTGGAAGGAACCTTAAAGATCATTTAGTTCCAACCTCCCACTAGACCAGGTTACTCAAAGCCCCATCCAGCCTGGCCTTGAACACTTCCAGGGATGGAGCGTCCACAGCTTCCCTGGGCAACTTGTTCCAGTGTCTCACTACCCATGCAGTGAAGAACTTCTTCCTAGCCTATATCCCCTCTTACAGTTTGAAGCCATTCCTTCTTGTCCTATCACTTCATGCCCTTATAAAAAGCCCCTCCCCATCTTTCCTGTAGGTTCCCTTCAAATACTAGAATGCTGCTGTAAGGTCTTCCTGGAGCCTTCTCTTCTCTAGGCTGAACAGCCCCAGGTGTCTCAGCCCATTTTCATAGGAGAGGTGCTCCATCCCTTTGATCATCTTTGTGGCCCTTCACTTTCTACTTATTCGTACTTACTCATTAATATTAATTTTCATAGAATCAGAGAATGTGTGGAGTTGGAAGGGACCTTTAAAGGTCATCTAGTCCAGCCCCCACTGCACTGCACTGGGACCTTTTTAACTAAATCAGGTTGCTCAGAGCCCTGTCAAGCCTGACCTTGAAAGTTTCAAGGGATGGTGCCTCCACTACCTCTCTGGCTAACCTGTTCAAGTGCTTCACCACCCTCACAGTAAAGAAGAAAAGGAGTAAAGAACCTTTTCCTGATACCCAATCTGAATCTACCGTGCTCTAGTTTAAGGACATTGCCCCTCATCCCATCACTGCAAGCCCTTGTAAACAGTCCCTCCCAAGCTTTCTTGTAGGCGCCCTTCAGGTACTGCTAGAAGGTCTCCCCAGAATGTTCTCTTTTTGGGGTTGCTGAGCAACACCAACTCTCTCAGCCTGTCTTTGTAGGAGAGGTGCTCCAGCCCTGTGATCATCTTCATGGCCCTCCTCTGGACTTGCTCCAACAGCTCCATGTCCTTTTTATGTTGGGGGCTCCAGAACTGAATACCCCAGGTAGGGTCTTATGAGAGCCAAGTAGAGGGGCAGAATCACTTCCCTTGTCCTACTGGCCGTGCTTCTTTTGATACAGCCCAGGATGTGATTGGCCCTCTGGCCTGCAAGCACACATTGTGTGCACATGTCTGACTTTTCCTCCACTATTATCCCCAAGTCTGTTTCTGCTGGGTTGCTCGCTATTACATCATCCCCCATCATGTATTGACAAGATGCCCTTGCCCATGTGCAGGACCTTGCACTTGACCCACTTCTCTAGCTTGTCCAGGTCCCTCTGGATAGCATCCCATCTCTCTGGCTTGTCAGCTGCACCAGTCAGCTTGGTGTCATCTGCAAACTTGCTGACAATGCTCTCAATGCCACTGTCTATATCGTTGATGTTGATATTAAACACCACTGGTCCCAGTACAGACCCCTGAGGGACACCACTTGTCATCATTTTCCATCTGGACATCAAGCCATTGACCACTACCCTCTGGATGCGACCATCCAGCCAATTCCTTATCCACTGAACAGTCCATCAAATCCATATCTTTCCAACTTAGAGAGAAGGATGCTGTGGGGGACCATGTCAAAGGCCTTGCAGAAATCCAGAGAGATGACATCCACTGCTATTGACCACTGATGCAATCGCTCCATTGTAGAACGCCATTAGGTTTCTAATTATTCATATAACCATGCTTGTATTTTGATACCGTTATCAAGTCCAGATGGTTATGTGTGACTGTTGTCCCATTTGTTTGAGACTTTTTTGGTTTGGGGGTTTTCTTTTAATTGCAGATTAATGGTTTTTTTTGTAGAATCTATGCTGGAAATACAGGAGACTCAGATTTTTTGAGAATGTAGCCTTTTGGGTTGCTTTCAGACTATGCCATTTGTTCCACTGGCATCAACATACAGAAAAATTGGAACTTACAGAAGAATTAGACCACAGTGATGAATTTATCACTTTCCTTAAAACTGTTTAAAGTCATGTTGAAGCTGAAAAAAACATAAATGTTTAATTTGAAAGTATGCAGTTAGTGAATACGCTATATCCATTTACATTCAGAAATGAAAGTATGAGCAGAAAAATCACTCCCTGGAGAAACTTGTCACCAGAAATGTCAGCCTTTGAACTGGAGTGGCTTTTTGATAGCCATGCTATGAGTGAAGGAACACATGTAAATTATACAGACTACTCCAGAAGAGCAGGCTTGAAGTCCTTTGTGTTGCTGTCTCACCATTATAAAACCAACAGTAGTTGTTGTGGTTACTGATGTGACAGCAGGTATCTTCATCACTAATTGACAGAAGATAACACCAATTTTTAATTACTTCCTGGAGTGTGGTAGTTGCCCATGCCTGTGAGCACTTCCCAGATTAGAAAATGTTCACAGTATATGAGGCCCTGTTTACGAGGCCCTGTTTTTTTTATTTAAAAAGATGCATTTTCTATTTACAGGGAATAACAGTGTTTACACTGTGAAGTGACCTTTCTGAAACAGGGAATAAATGTAGCTCTAAGAGAAGCAGCAGCAAATACATGATTATATACATAGCAAATGCAACACCATGTACTTCATTCCCCCACATGCTTCCTTCCTCCTTCTTTTCCTCTTTCTCTAGTGTAGCCTTTTGCATTATTTGCTTGAATCTTGCCAGCACTTAGTATAAGGAGTGGCATCCCTACTGGGGCTATTTTTGCTATAAACCCTGTCTAATGCAGTAAGTGAGGATTTGGGTCATTTGTTTGTAAGTGTTGTCTTTGCAGACAAGCGTTGCAGTGTCTGCCAAGTGACAGCATATCTAAGGGTACATACATGCGAGTTCATTTTTTGCTCTCTCTGCAGTTTTTTGTGCAACAGAAACCTACAACAGAATAATATCTCTCTTAAAATATTCAGTGAAAGTTGGTATTAATAAACAAATTATTTTATTTTGGAGGGGCTTACTGTCCTTCTGTGCTACCACAGCCATAATAAAACCAGGGTTAAATTACTGCTTGGCTGGACAAAGGAACGGTGATTTTTCTTCTGCTTAATTTGTTTGAGTTCAAAAGGATTATTTGACTTCTGATCACATGAAAAGCATTTCATAGCATACTGGAAAGCTGCCTGGTTTTGTATCTAACAGACTTGACAGCATGGTTGGCAACAGACAGATAATGGAAGGCTAATGAATAACAAAAAGCTGAGTGATTGAAATAGCAGAGCTGCAGGGAAAGAACAAGGACGGCTGGAAAGGAAAATGGAAAAAAAACAAACAGCACAGAAATAAGGAATAACCAGTATTTTGATCAGTGTCAGGGCATGTCTTCACATCAGAATGAACCCCAGTCATAACTTAAGCATTCTCCATCTGCCAACTCACAAGAGCTCTTAACTCATGTACTATGACACATTTCATACAAGTCACTCAGCTTGCCTTGAGGAAGGAGGGTAGGTTGGAATTTAAATATTTTTTCAACTGCTAAGATGATGACTACTTTGCAGTAACCTGTACGATTCCCCTTAATTATCAGATGCATTCCCAAAATCCTACCAGTGCATGTATACATAGTATCTCACACTCTACTGCAAAAAAAATGAAGCAGAGCAACAGCATTGGAAGCTATTAGGGGTACTGAGAGACACCCAAAGCTTAGTTTGTATTTACACTTCAGTGAATACATCTTTATTTTGGTAACAGGGATAACTGCTTCATGGCTCCTGTTCTTCAAATCTCCAGCAGGGAGGAAGAGCTCTTACTCACTGCTAACTAATCTCTCCAGATGGGAAACAGTCTCTGGGGCGACTGCACCTTAAGAAAGATTCCTCTGCAAATGTAACGAGAGAGAAGACTTAACTCCCAGTATCAGAAGCGGGCAGACTGTCTCCTGGTGTTAAAAGAGAATGGCTCTCTAGCAGTCTGATAGTTGAGATGCTCATGTCTGGAAGTGTGCCCTAAGGTGGACCCAGCCAGCTGCTATGAGTTTGGTCACACACTGCTAGTTGTGGCTGAGCTTTGTGGTGTGTGCTTGCTTTTACACTTGTTTTATGGTAAGGATTACAGAGGAGGAGTTGAGTTAGCACAATGTTTCCTGTTTTGTGCCTCTTTTTTTGCAGTGCCATATGGAAAAATACCTGCTTTTTTTACTGTTTTCTCATTCTGATGTACTACCTTTCCTGAGCTTTAACATCGCTGAAATAGGAATCGTAATGTAAGGACGACCCTTTCTTTTTTCCTTCACAGAATCTGTACCAAAACAGGTTCCTGGGCCTGGCAGCCATGGCGTCTCCATCTAGGAACTCACAAAATCGGCGCCGGTGCAAAGAGCCTCTCAGATACAGCTATAACCCTGACCAGTTCCATAACATGGACATCAGGAACAATGCCCATGAGACGGTCACCATTCCTAGGTCAACCAGTGACACGGACCTTGTCACTTCAGACAGCCGGTCCACTCTGATGGTCAGCAGCTCCTACTACTCCATCGGGCATTCCCAGGACCTAGTGATATACTGGGATATAAAGGAGGAAGTGGATGCAGGGGACTGGATTGGCATGTATCTCATAGGTAAGTCACTCTTACCCCTTCCTCTTCAGGTTTCTTGCTGCTTTTTTTAGTTGTTAGCATTAAGGTTATGTGGACTAATGGTATTCATGAGCTAACACAGCTCCACTGGGTGTAGTCTTTAAATGGCTTTCTATATGACAAGATTTCTTCTGCTCTTGAGTTGCTGGCTGCAGTCCTGGCTCACTTTTTCTTCAGTAGAGATATGGGAATGCTGCTTTTTTTTTTTTTTTTTTTTT